CAGAGATGATCGCTCGTCCAAAATCAGCCAAAACGAGTGGAAAACGGCCGAGATATGAGGCTTTCAAGTTTGGAATTTCGCTCTCTTGTCCTGCCCTGGCGTCGACCGGTAGAGGTGGACGGCCGTGTAGTCGTCCGCGGCCTCGGACGCCGTCGTCGCGAGCGACGGCTCGTCGTCGTCGTCGGTGCGCGACGAGCTCGACGACGACGGCGGGGGCTCGGGCCGATTCCGCGTCAGCGCGAGCGCGCGGACGACGCGCGCGGCGGCCGCGAGCGGCCGGCGGCCCGCGGCGGCCGGCGCGGGGTCCGGCGGCGCGCGCCGCGCGGCGACCTCGCGCCGGGGGATGAGGTAGATGGGCGCGCCGTCGCCGACCCTGGAGCCGACGACGGCCTTGAACGCGACGAGCCGCGTCTCGCAGTCGCCGAACTTCGACCGGCCCTTCGCGGGGAACAGGAACGTGTTCCGCGCGCCGCCGGGCGCGAGCACGCACCGCTTGCCCCAGCCCTTGGCCGCGCAGCCCCCCGCGACCTCCGGCGCCCAGGGGTCGACGCCGTCGCGCGCGGCGTCGCCCGCCGCGGGGCCCACGCGGAAGCTGCCGGTCCGCGGCGCGTCCTCGTCGGCGCGCGCGTCCTCGAGGCGCGCCGCGGGCGCGGACGCGGGCCGCGGCCGCCTCAGCACGTCGTCGTCGACGTGGCGCACGAGGAAGGGGCTCGGCGGCGGCGCGTCGCGCGTCGTGAGCCAGAGGCTGTTCGGCGCGGACCGCAGGTGCCGCGCGGCCGCGGCGCGCGCCTTCTCGCGCGCGGCGTCCGAGAGGCCCGCCGTGCTCGCCGTGTGCTCCGCGAGCTCGGCCCGGACGTCGCGGAGCGCCGGCGGCGCGTCGTCGCCGCCGCCGCCGTCGGCGGCCTCGCGGTCCTCGGCGGGGTCGAAGGCCGCGAGGAGCCACGCGCCGTACGACGCCTCCCACGCCGTCGCGCCCCGCGCGCCGTCGCGCCGCGGGTCCGCGACGCGCCGCGCCGTGAGCCGCGCGAAGGCCTCGTGGCCGTAGTCGACGCGGAGCTTGTGGAGGTGGAGGCGGTTGCAGACGCGCGCGTCGCGGCTCAAGTTCGCCAGGAGGCTCACCGCGAACGCGCGGACCTCGGGCTCGGACGCCGCCGCGACCTCGAGCGCCGGCAGGAGCGCGTGCCTCGCGACGGCGCCGCAGGCCTCGAGCGCGACGCTCAGGTTCATGAGCACGTGGAGCGCCTCGACCTGGATGTCCGCGCCGCGGCTCCTGTTCGCGAGCTCGCCCAGGCGCTCCGCGCAGCGCGCGGCGAAGAGCAGGCGCAGGCGGTGGTCCCGGGCCGACATCTTCTGCATGGAGAAGAGCGCGGCCTTGGCGACGTCGTCGTTGCGGCCCGGCTCGAGCGCCGCGAGGCACTCCGCGATGACGTCGCTCCCGAGCCGCTCGAGCTCCTCCGCGTGGGGCACGGAGTCGGAGCAGAAGCGCAGCAGGATGGTCGTCGCCGCCGCCGCCAGCAGGCCCCGCGACCGCTCGCGCGCGTCCTCGGACCGCGAGTCCTCGTACGCGTGGTCGCTCCGCAGCGCGGACCGGAGCGGCTTCACGAGCGCCGGGCTCAGGCCCGCCGTCGACAGCACGCCGCCGCGCCCCGTCGCGAGCTTCCAGACGATCTCCAGCGTCTCGCGCCGCACCTGGACCTCCGTCGCGACGCGCGCCGCCTCCGCGGCGTCGTCCGCGTCGTCGTCGCCGTAGCCGGGCCTCAGCTCGTCGCGGTCGCGGTCCCAGCGCTCGCCGCGCTTGAGGATGGACATGACGGCGACCTCCAGCGACCCCTTGTCCAGCAGCAGCTCCACGGGGTTGCCGTCGACGCGGTTGCCCCGCCGGTTCCGGAAGACGCGGTCGGCGCCGCACGCGAGCACGCGGAAGCCGGACACGGCCGCGGCGAGGCTCCCGCCGTGCTTCCGCGCGAGGAGGAGCGGGATGCACCGGCAGAGCGTGTAGAGCGTCGTCCGCCCGAGCAGCGGCGACTCCTCGCGGACGAGGCCGTGCGTCGCGGCCGACGTCGCCCAGCCCCGGGCGAGGCGGGCCACGGTGACGCAGACCGTCGCGACGACGTCGAAGACGTCGCCGCACTGGCGTTTCGCGCGCACCGCCTTCATGAGGAACGCGCCCCGCTGGCGCCCGCGCTCCCGCCGGCTGCTGGGCAGGTTCCGGTCGAGCTCGGGCCCCCGCCGCTCCGCGAGCTTCTCCTCGCGGAGCTTGTTCCGCAGCGCCTTGCCCACGGACGCGAGCGCGCGGCAGAAGGCGTAGGTGTGGGCCCGGTCGCGCCACTCGCAGTGCGCCTCGTCGGGGTGGCACGGATCGTAGGTCGCATCCCGCGACAGCCGCTCGAGCGTCGCGCCGACGGGCGTGAGCACGTCGGGGTCGAGCGCTGTGTGGAAATCAAATCTTCAAGCCGACTTCAACGTGCGCGTAATCGAACGGTTCGGACCGGACTCTTCGGTCGTGCTTCGAGACCTCGACGAGAGCAATCGATTCGTCCAAAAATCAGCCAAATCGACTTCGATTTGGCCGAGCGAGAGAATTTCAAAGTTTGGTCGGGACGTCCCAAACCAGCGGTTGATTTCCACGCAGACGCTCGCTCCAGACGTTTTCCGCGAGCGCGTCGCACAACTTGGCGAAATTCGCCTCCTCCAGAAGCGCGCTCCGCCCGTGGGGCGTCAAGCCGAGCTTGTAGAGCGCGTAGCCCGCGGAGAGCTGCGCCGAGCGGTCGACGACGGGCAGCAGCCGGCCGAGCGTCGCGTCGACCCAGCCACACAGGTCCTCGACGGGCGCGCCCCGCTCCAGCGCGAAGCCGCTCGCGGCCACGAGCGCGTTGATCACGGGCTCGTAGGCCGACCGCTTCTCCTCGGGTGCGGCGTCGCGCGCGGCGACGACGAGCTCTGGGAGCTCTCGGAGCAGGTCCCAGACCTCGCCGTCGTTCTTCTCCTGGCGCAGCTCCGCCAACGCGTGCGCCGCGAAGGCGCCGACGCGCAGCGCGCCGAACGCGTCGAGATTGTCCGACGACCGCTTGCAGAGGTCTAAGCAGGCCGCGAACGCGTCCGACGCGCCTGGGTAGCGGTCGTCGCGGCCCGCGGCCCTCGCGTCCCCGTCGGACGCGAGCAATCCGAGCGTCGCGGCGGCGGTCTCGTCGCAGGCGCCGCCGAGGCGCGCGTCGACGAGCGCCCCCAGCGCCGCGAGCGCGCCGCCGCGGCAGGCCCAGGTCCGGAGGGCGCCGCCCGCCTCGAAGGTCAACCAGAGACCGTGCGCCGCGTGCACCCGCGCCTCCGGCGGTAGTTCGTCGGCGCCCGCGACGCGCAGGAGCGCCGACACGCACCGCTCGCCGGCGAGCGTGCCGTCGCGGACGGCGGGGCGGCTCCGCGCGAGCGCGACGAGGCAGCCGACGGCGTCGCGGCCGGCGAAGCGCGCCGGTTGCGGCGCGCCCTCGTCCGCGCAGGCCTCGGCGGCCATGACCAGGCGGTCCGCGAGGCCGTGCTTCAAGAGGCGCGTGCCCGCGTCCGCGTCCGTCTCCGCGAGCATCCACGCGGCCCGCAGCGCCGCGCCGCGGCACGCCTCATCCTCCGCCGCCCGCACCACTCGTCCCAAAAACGGGTCCGTCGCCGCCCGGGCGTTGGCGGATTCGTGGGCGAACTCCCACGCGCACAGGAGCGCCTCGGGCCGCTTCGCGCCGTCCTCGATGGCCACCGCGTAGGCGTTGGACAAATTGCGCGCGAGGGACGCGTAGCGGTCTTTCGCGCCGTCGTCCCAGGCCTTTAGGCAGTCGGCCCAGTCCTGTGGCTTCTCGATGGCCCGCTTCGGCGCCCGCCTCCAGGCGAGCTCGTCGGCGAGCACGCGCCGCCAGGCGTCGTCGCCCGGCCGCGCGTTGGCCAGAGGCAGCGGGAACCAGATGTCCATGTCCGTTCCCAGCGCGCCGAGCAGCGCCTTGCGCACGACCGTGAAGGACGTCACGGCGTCGCGGGCGACGTGCACCGCCTTCCGCGTGCGGTCCTCGCGGCGCACGCGCAGGGCCACGCGAGCCGCCTCAGGCGCTGGCACCATGCCGCCGCGAGGCGTCGCCGCGGGCACGCCCGGCGGCGCCGAGGCGTCGCGCGAGGCGTCGCCGCGGGCACGGCCGCCGGCGCCGAGGCGTCGCGCGCGGCGCTGGCCCAACTGCGCAAGTAGCGCGTTAAAAAACTTGAACTTGAAGGGGGATTGAAGGTTGTTAAAGTCGCCTACCACACAGATGATGGACGACGACGACGAGCCGCAGGAGCCCACGAACCGGGAATGGGCGCTCCAGCAGCTGGCCGGCGCCGCCGGCTGGGAGTGCGGCAAGCTGGCCCGCGACGACGAGCTCGGCAGCCTGTTCGTCTTCCACGACGGCCTGGCCACGACGGCGGCCCTGAAGCGCAAGGAGGAGATCCTGGGCATGCTGCGCTGGAAGTACGCGACGGACCCCTTCTTCTCCATCTCGTCGAAGCTGCGGCTGCGCCTCGCCGGCGACGGCGCCTGCCAGGTCGTCTGCGTCGAGGCCGCGGGCGGCGGCGCGCCCGAGCTCTTGTGCTCGACGCGGCCCGTCGACGCGCCCATGGAGACGTCGCTGCCGAAGAAGCAGGGCGGCCACGTCTTCGACGCGGCGAAGCTCGGCGACATCGTCTTCGACATCGTCAAGGACGAGGGCGTCGTCGTCGTCGACGTGGAACTCCTCTTCCCCGTCGCGTCCGACGAGCCCGGCTGCCGCGCGCAGCTCCGGAGCTACCTCGGCATCCTGCGCGCGCTCTGCGACGGCCACGACCACCCCGAGCAGTACTACTCTGTGTGGAAATCCAATCGATTCGTCCAAAAATCAGCCAAAACGACTTCAATTTGACCGAGCTAGAGAATTTCAAAGTTTGGTCGGGACGTCCCAAACCAGTGGTTGATTTCCTCACAGGTACTACTTCAAGACCTGGCCGAAGCCGAGCCACGGCGAGGCGTCGTCCGCCGTGTCCTGGGCCGCCGACGACGTGGCGCGGCTCCGGGGCACGTCCGCGCACCGCCTGGTGTCGTGCGGCCGGCGCCAGCTCGACGCCGTCGCGGCCATCGTCGAGCGCGTGATCAAGCGCCACTACGGCGCGCCCCTGGACCTGTCGAAGACCCAGTGCGACACCGTCGCGGAGCTATTTAGCTACGTCGTGTTGACGTTCGAATCGCGCGCGTTCTCCGAGGCGTTCGACGACGAGATCGCCGAGCCCGGGCGGCTCTCGAAAGCGGCGGAGCAGGCGGCCGCGGAGGAGCGGCGCCTCGCGTCCATGCCCGACACGCCCGACGGCCTGCCGCCGGAGGCCGTCGACGTCTGGCAGATGCTCGCGGGCGTCGGCAAGGCGCCCGAGCCGAAGCGCCGCGGCCGGGTCTGCGTGCCCTTGGTCGACCTCTTCGACGGCGCGCCGACGGGCAAGCACAACGCGTCGACGCAGCGGAACACGCTCGACGGCGAGACCGTGATCACCATGACGACCTGCGCGAAGATCTCCGCCAAGGGCGACGTGCTCAACGCCTACGGGCCCAACGGCGCCGCGACGATGCTCTTCAAATACGGCTTCGCGCCCTGGGGCAACGGCAAGCACGACGGCGGGCCGAGCTTCGACGCGACCTTCATCTGCCCGTCGCCCGCGGTCTACAACGGCCTCGACCACCTCCAGCAGTACGGCCTCGAGCTCAAGGGCTACACGCGCGCGCGCATCTGCGACGACGGCTGGCGGCTGGGCGACCCCCAGATTGATGACACGCCGCCCATGTCCGAGACAGCAGCGTCCACCGCCAGGAGTGTATTTGAGAGAAATCCGACCCTTGGTAGGTTCGAGAAATTCGCGACGCTCGTCCTCGCCTCCGAGAACCCGGAGATCTTCGACCTCGAGGACGAGCTCCCGAAGCACACGGTCGGCGCGTCCATGCTGCGGCTGTTGCGGGACCAGCTCCGGCTCTACGCGACGACGGCGAAGCAGGACGCGGAGCTGCTCCACGTCGACGGCCTGCCCGCGCCGCAGCGCGTCGCCGCGTCCGCGCGGCTCCTCGAGCGCAACGTGCTCCTGCGCTGGGCGCGGCGCATCCACGAGAAGTACGACTGCGACGACGACGAGCTCGACGACTTCGACCGCGCCGCGGGGCCCTTCTCCCTGCCCTGCCAGCACTGCGGCTGGTGCCTGCGCACCGTCCTCTGCTCCCGCTGCAAGGCCGCGCCCTTCTGCAGCAACGCGTGCCTCAAGGCCCACTGGCCCGTCCACAAGGCCGTCTGCAAGAAGGCGAGTAAGAAGTAGGTTATTAGAGCTCCGGACGCCGCGGGCTTCTTCCGCTTCCTAAGAAGGAGGTTAGAGCTCCACCGCGGGCTTCTTCCGCTTCCTGTGCTTCCGGCGGCGCTTCCGCGCGGGCGCCGCGTAGAGCTCCGCGTTGTGGGGCGGGAGCGCGTCGACGGCGGCGGCGTCGGCGCAGGCGGGAGCGGCGCAGCGGACGCAGACGTCGAGCGCGAGCTCGCGCGCGGCCGCGGCCGCGTCCGCGCCCGCGGCGCCCGGCCGCATGCCCTGCTGGAGGGCCGCGGAGAAGCGCGCCTCCTCGCCCTCGACGATCTTCGCGCACTCGAGCGTGAGCGCGTGGCGCAGGCGCGCGGCCGCGGCGCCGCCGTCCGTGCGGAGCGCGTGGACGTGGATCCGCGGCTTCCCCGGCGTCCGCTCGCCGCCCTCGTCGTCGAGCACGAAGCCGCGGCCGTCGGCGAGCTCGAGGAAGAAGCCCGCGCGCGTCTCGCTGCGGCCCGCGATGGCCGCGGTGTCGCCGAGGCCGAGCGCCGCCTTGAACCGGGGCTCCGCGAGGTCGCTCACGTCGCCGAAGAGGCTCTTGTTCAGGGGCTCGCCGAAGGGCGCCTCGAAGATGTCCACGTGCTCCACGAGCACCTCGAGGAACGGCGGCGCGAGCACGGCGAGCCGCTCGAGGGGCACGCCGCCGAGCTTCTGGAGGTACGGCGTCTCGTAGACGACGCGGCCCTTGTGGCGGACGCTGTCGACCATGAGGCGGTAGGCCTCCATGCGCGCGCAGAGGCCCTCGAGCAGCTCCGTCGCCCGCAGCTCGCTCACGCCGTAGTCCACCGTGCGCGCGCCGCGGCCCGCGTGCATGCCCACCTTGAGATTCATGGACGGCTTCTCGTCGGCGACGGCGTCGAGGAGCTCGGCGACGGTGACGACGCAGGAGCTGCACCGCGCCTCGTCGTCGTCGAAGGTCGCCGTCGGCGCGCTTTCGTCGACGGCGGCGGCCGCTGCGACGGCGAGCGCGACGGCGGCGAGGCAGCCCCTGAACATCGTCATCTCTCGATTTTAAATCGCGCTCTTGAAGGTTTGATTGAACCTTAAAACTGCGAAGGGTCAGCATGGATCGATCGGCTGCGGAGGAAATCGCCGAGCATGTCCGCGTCTTGCGCGAGGGCGACGACGCAGCGAAGACGGCGGCGGCGCGGGGGCTGACCGACGTCTCGCACCGCAGCCAACACTACTACGGGTCCATCATCGCCGACGCTGGCGGCATCCCACTGCTCGTCGAGCTCTTGCGTGACGGGAGCGCGGGCGCCAAAGAGTCGGCCGCGCAGGCGCTGGGCGTCATCGCGTGGACCAACGCCAGCCAGGTCCTGATCGCCGAGGCCGGCGGCATCCCGCCGCTGGTCGACCTCCTGCGCGACGGGAGCGCGGAGACCAAACTGATAACCGCGTGGGCGCTGGCCTTCCTCTCGCGTGACAACGACGACAACAAGGTCCTGATCGCCGACGCCGGCGGCATCGCGCCGCTCGTCGATCTCCTGCGCGACGGCAGCGCGTCCGCCAAAGGGCAGGCTGCGACCACGCTGCGAAACCTCGCGGGCGGCAACGACGCCAACGCGGTCGCGATCGCGCTGAATGTCGGCTTCGACGCGGTCGTCGAGTTCGCGCGGCGCGGCCGCGTGACCGTCGACAACCATCTGGTCGTGTTCGCAAGCGTCCCCGCCAAGCGCAAGGCCGCGCTCGTCGTCGCCGCGCTGCTCGGCGACTGCGTCCCGGACTCGGTCCCGCGCGTCATCAAGGCCGTCATCGGGTCCTACCTTTAGTCGTAGTAAAGGTACTTTTCGAAGCGCGTGCCGGCGAGCGTGCGCTCGACGTCGTCCCAGTTGCGGATGTAGCTGCGGAGCGGGTCCGCGTGGATCTGGCCGCCGCGCTCGCGCTCCTTGGCCTTGGCGAACCAGTGGTGCCGGACGTCGCCCGTGCACCAGGAGCGCTTGAGCACGTAGGTCGCGACGGCGTCGAGCGTCGCGGACGTGTTCGCGACGAGGTCCTCGTAGCGGAGCGCGAGCGTCGGCACGCCGGCGGCGCGCGCGTCGGCCGCGGCGTCGGCGAGGAAGGCGTACTGCCCCTCGAGCTTGCCGAGGCTGTGGAGGAGCGCGTCGCCCGTCTCGAAGACGAGCTGGCTCTGCTCCGCGCCGGGCACGTGGATGGACTGGTGCGCGTTGTCCTTGGCGTACGACGACACGCGGACCCGGAGCAGGTTCTCCCGCGTCAGGAAGATGAGCGACACGCCGCGGTCGCGGCAGAAGGCGCGGAACCAGGCGGGCCAGTCGTCCTGGAAGTGCTGGCTGAGCATCCACTTGAAGCCGCACGTCGGCGCGCCCGAGGACCGGCAGTGCTTCGCGAAGTGCCGGAAGGGGTACGTGACGTTCGCGTTGTCGTCGAGGGAGGCGCCGTCGTAGAAGGCATTCAAGGCCGCTTTCCGCCGCTCCGTGGACCAGACGAAGCCCGAGTACTTGTTCGCGATGGTCGCCGCGCTCGTATTCGGCTTCACGTTCTGCGGCTTGTTCTGGTTGAGGAAGATCTCCTTGCCGGCGGCGAGGCACGGGTGGCCCTGGATCTCCTCGACGAGCCAGGTCGACCCCGTGCGCTGCACCGTGACGATGACGAAGCCGCCGCGCATCGTGGCGTTGGCCTCCTTGGGCGCCAGGCCGCCGGCCGCGCGGATGCTCTCGAGCATCTTCGTCTTCGTGCCCCGGTCCAGCAGCTCCGCGACGGGGTTGCGCGTCGGCGCGTCGCCGCGGCCCACGGACGCCGCGGCGCAGGCGAGGAGGAGCCATCGCCGGACGCGGCGGCAGCCAAAAATCTCCATCGTCGTCACCTCGGGGGGCATTCCAGCTTCACGTAAATGTTCAAGGTTAGCATCCGCGCTGCATTCAGGCCTTCGGCGGCGGCGGGGGCGGCCGCTTCTTCTTCGAGGCGCGCTTCTTCTTGTTCTCCTTGGCTTTGGTCGGCGACGCGTCCGCCGCGGCCTTGTCCGTCTCCTTGGCGGCCTCGATGACCTTGTGCGCGTGGCCGTGGAGGAGGCCCCGGATCTTGTGGTGGCGGCTGTGGACGACGTCGAAGACGCGCTTGCCGTTGCCGTCGCGCGCGAGGACCGACGCGCCGTGGAGGAGGAGCAGGTTCAGGCACTCGTAGTGGTTGCCGAGCGCCGCGCAGTGGAGCGGCGTCTGCTTGCGGCCGTCGCACAGGTTCGGGTCCGCGCCGGCCTCGAGCAAGATCGTGAGGCACTGGTGGTGGCCGTAGCGCACGGCCTTGTGGAGCGCCGTCTGCCCCAGGACGTGGTGGCCCATGTTGTGCATCGTCGACACCGTGCCGGACGTCTGGTCCGTCGACCGCGCGTTGAGCACCTGGGCGGGAAAAGCGTGATTCAATATCGCTTCAACGTGGGTGTGCCGCGCGCGCGCGTTCCGGAAAAAGCGTCCACGCTTCAAGGCCGTTCCAAGAGATGATCGCTCGTCCAAAAATCAGCCGAAACGAGTGGAAAACGGCCGAGAGAGGAGCCGTTGAAGCATGTCGCACCCTTGTCCTGCTCTGTCGAGCACGCGCGGCGACTTGAAGGCGTCGTAGGACAGGGCCTTGGCGAGGACGCGCTTGTCGTTGTTGATCGTCGCGTAGTGGAGCGCGTTGTAGCCGTTGCCCACGAAGCGCGCGGACGAGCTGAGCTTGCCCTGGAGCTCGAGGCCCTCGCAGAGCACGGCGAAGGTGTCGACCTGGCCGCACTCCGCGGCGAGCAGGAGCGGCGGGAAGCGCTGCGCGTTGCGGACGTTGACGTAGTCGCCGCCGCAGGCGATGAGCGCGCGGAGGATCGCCGACGCGCCCAGCTTCGTCGCGTACATCAACGGCGTGAGGCCGTCGCGGTTGATGGACCCGAAGGGCGCGCCGAGCACGCAGAGCGCGACGAACTCGCGCTCGATGGTCGCCAGCGCGCCGACCTGCGCCTCGACGTCCTTCGGGTCGGAGTCGTGGAGCCGCGCGAGCCGCCGCTTCTCGAGGAGCGCGGTCACCCAGCGGTCGATGGCGAGGTGGAGCACCGTGTCGCCCTCCTGCGTGACGTAGTCCGCGCCCTCGTGGATGGAGGCGACGCGCTGCTTCGACAGGTCCGCGGCCCGCCCGCCCTTCTTCATCGCGTCCTCTCGCATCGCGACCTCGATCTCCTCCTTGGACAGGATCTGCAGCTCCTCCTTCAATCCGTTGACGAACTCGAAGAGGGTCAGGGCCTTGAAGGACGCGTAGACGTGCTCGCGGTACTCGTACTTGATGCCCTTGCAGAGCGCGACGTTCTTCACGGCGGCCTGCGTGCTCCGCACGTGGTCCCGCCGCCTTAAGTTCTCGGCGCGGAGCGTCGCCATCATTTCGTACTGGTCGTCGGTCCACGACGTGTGCTCCCCCTCGGACTTGCGGCTGTTGATGCCCGCGATGCAGTCGTCGTCCTCGAAGTAGCAGATCTGCAGCGCCTGCTCGCAGCAGCGCGTGTCGCCGGTCACGCAGCAGGGCTCCGGCGCCAGGCAGCACCCGCCGAACATGGGAGCGGCGCCACGGCAGCCCGCTCACGTCCCGTCGGCGCCTTTCGTCGAATCAGCTGCGTGTGGCTCCTTTCGCCGTCGCTGCGTGCGGATGTCCTGCCCTGCTGTCGGGGCAAGCGTGGCTCATTTGGAGGTTCACCACTGGTTCAACAACTGGATCGGGAGGTAGAAGATGAACTCGTGGCAGCTCGATCGTCGCATGATCGTCGCGCTCGCGCCCACCTAGAGCTAGGCCTCGCGCGCCGTCTCCGATGGCCGAGCGCGCCGTCTTTCGCGCCGTCCTCCGCGCCGTGCGGAACTGTTCGCTGCCCCGCCGGCGCTCCGAGTGGGGCGCGGGCCTGCGCGCGGCGGCGGCGAGCAGCCACTTCCTCGCCGAGGAGACCTTCCCCGCGGGCCCCTTCCTGGACCTCGAGCGCTGGCTCCGGGACGCGTCCGGCCCGCGCGCGCGGCGCGTGCGCGCCGTCGCGACGGGCGCCGGCGCGGCGGCGCTCGCGGCGCGCTTCGACAAGCTCCACGGCGAGCTCTTCGGCGGCGACGGCGACGCGCCGCGCGACGCCGTCGACGTCGGGCTCGCGGCCGTGCGCGTCGTCGGCGCCTACGACGCGCTCCTCCGCGCCCTCGAGCACGAGGGCGTCGCCGACGAGCCCGAGCCGCGGCCGCGGGACCCGGCGGTGCTCTTCGCGGCCGGCGACGTGCTCCGGCACCGCTTCTTCGGCCGCTGCGTCGTCGTCGGCTGGTCGCCGACGTGCCCCATGAGCGAGGACTGGATCGCGGGCAACCGCATCCGCGAGAATTTGGTCAACGGGCCCGACCAGCCCTTCTACAACGTCCTCCTCGAGGACAACGACCTGCCGCGGTGCGTGTCGCAGGAGAACGTCGCGCTCGAGCCGGACGGCGCGCCGGGCGGCCGCCTGCCGAAGACCTTCGACCACTACGGCGTGCCCTACTACTTCGACGCCGAGGACGCGGGCGACGCCTTCGCCATCGCCCTCACGGACGAGCTCCGGCGCCGCTTCCCGGAGGACGACGACTTCCGCGCGTCGCCGCGCGACTTCCGGACGCTCGAGGAGGCGCACCGGCCGCCCTACCTCGTCCCGCCGGCGCGGCCGCCGGCCAGGGAGGCCGCGTGCGCCGCGGACTAAGGGCGATTTTCTCCGTCTTACGCCGCCGTAAAGGTCGCGAAGCCCGCGGGCCGCTCGAGGCGCCGCGCGCGCGCCTTGCCGGCGAGGTCGGCGAAGTTCGCCGCGGCGAGCTGGTTCTCGCCGTCCGCGTCCTTGGGCGCGGCGGCGACCGCGGGCGCGGCGAGCTCGAGGAGGCGGAGGAAGGGCGCGCCGTAGGTCTCGAGGAGGAAGAAGGCCGCGGTCTCGAGGAACGCGACCAGGGCCGGGAGCGCGGCCTTCTTCGCCTGGGAGCGCGTCTGGTTCGCGACGGGCCCGCCGTAGACGCCGTTGACGTACCTGGCCAGCCAGCCCCAGGCCGCGGGCAGCCCGCCGAAGGGGTGGCCCCCGGCGCGCGCGGCCGGCGCGTCGACGACGGCGAGCGCGGCGACGAGCGCCGCGACCTTGGACGCGTCCGCGACGTTGTCGCCGGGCTTGGCGGCCGCGGCCGGCGACCGCGCGAGGAGCGCGCCCTGGAGTAAAGGCCGCAGGGACGGCGCGCGGCCGCCCGCGCGCGCGACGAGCTCGTTGAGCACGGCGGCGAGGGCCCAGACGTCGGTCCGCCGGTTGAACGTCTCGCCGAGGAGCTTCTCCCCCAACTTTTGCGACGCGACGTACGCGACGTACGCGCCGCAGGCCGCGTCGTCGACGCCGCGCTGCGCGAGGAGCGCGCCGAACTGGTCGTGGAGGGGCCGCCTCGCGGCGTTGGCGCCGCCGCCGAAGAAGGGCGCGGGCGCCTGCTGGCCGCGGCCGAGCGGGTCCGCGAGCGCGGCCGCGAGCGTCTCCGCGCACTTGAGGGCCGACGCGCAGTCGTTGCCCACGGAGTTGACGGCGGCGCCGACGACCTTCTTCAGGGCGCGGCAGAGCGGCTTCAAGGGGGCGTCGGCCTCGAGCTTCTTCGCCGCGGCCTCGGCGGCGGCGAGGGCCGCGGTCGCGCGCGCCTCGCCGCCGGCGTCGGCCGGCGCGGCGGCCGGCGGCGCCGCGGCCGCGGGCGCCGCGGCCGCCGCCGCGGCCGCGGGCGCGGGCGCGGGCGGCGCGACCGGTTTCGGCGGCGCGCGTTTCGCCTGGGCGAGGGCCTTGCGGCAGACGCCGACGGCGAGCGCGGCCATCTTGCCCGCCTCGGACGTCCGCGTCAGGCCGCCGGCGCCGCCCGCGTCCAACTCCCGGAGGCACGCGTCCAGACCCTCCGCGGCGGCCGCCAGCGCCGGCACCGTCGCGGCGACGCGCGCGGCCTCGAGGTGCGTCTGGATCCGCGCCGCCGCGGCCTCGGCGGCCCGCAGCGCCGCGGCCTCGGCGGCGTCGGCGACGCCGTCGCCGAGCGCCGACAGCGCGTCCAGATCGTCCCAGGACGCCGCGTCGTCGAAGGCGCGGCGGAAGGCGTCGCGCGCCGCGCGCCGGCTCTTCTCGGCGCTCCGCCGCGCCTCCTCGGCGGCGAGCGCCTCGATGCGCCGCCGCGCGGCCGCGTGGCGCTTTTCGGCGGCGGCGACGAGCCGCGCGTGCTCCGCGTCGTGTTTCAGCGCCGCGTCGGCCTGGTGCCGCCGCGCCGCGGCGTCGGCCTCTTCGAAGGCGCGCGCGGTCTCGCCGGGCGGCGCCGCGTCGCCCGTCGACAGGTCGCGGATGCGCGCGCGGAGCCCGGCGACGGCCGCGTCCGCCTCCGCGTCGACGGCCGCGCGCCGCGCGCGCTCGAGGTCGCTGCTCCGCCGCCGGTCCTCGCCGGCGGCCTTCGCGCCGGGCGTCGCGCGCCGCGGCGACGGCGTGCGCGGGAAGCGGCGCGCGTTCGAGTCGCGGAGCACCATGGTCTCCGGCGACACGAGGGGCGAGCCCTGCGGCTCCGACGCGTCGTCGTCGGACGAGTCGTCGTCGCCGAGGCTGAAGCGGACCATGTCGTTGCTGGTCGGCGCGGTGGAGATGTCGCTGCAGCTGCAGCGGCGACTACGGCGCAAAGCGCATGTTGGCGGCCATCACGACGCGATACCGGTGCTTGGCCCGGGTCGCGGCCCCCGGCCTTGTCCGCGCCATCACCGCTGTGCCCGCTCGCTCGAGCCAATGCGCCGGCCGCAAGCTGGAGCAGGTCGTCGCGGCGGCGATGAGTCCCGTCCGCCCGCGCGGGCACGAACGAGCCGCCGGACCCGCCGGTCGACTTCGGCGGCGGCATGGCCTGCATGCCGGGGCCCTCCGACCTGTACCAGACCAGGACCGTGGTCGACGCTGTCGTCGAGGCCTACGATGTCGAGGTCACTCCTCGGCGCGCCAAAAAAAAGAACTTGGGAAACCTCAAGGGTAGCAGCTAAAAGAGTTGAACTTAATATTAAAGGTGCAGTTGCGAAAAGATTCCTGGGGGCAGCTCCCGGTCTGCTGTAACGCGGCTGGGCGCCGTTCGACGCCGTCGCGCGTTTCCGAGGGGATCGCGGCGCGCCGTTTCGGTGCGGCGAGGCTTTCGGACCTCGACCGTCGTTTGCGCCATGGGCGGCGGCCAGGGGAAGGTGGCCGACGGCCACGCGCACATCGAGGCCTGCGACCACAGCCCCATCTTCGCCTGCTTCGACAAGCTCGGAGACGCCGCCGAGGCGGCGTCGTGCAAGGAGGAGGTCGCGGGCTTCTTCACGCGGAAGACGGTAAAGGAGGGCGCGTCCATCTTCGCCAAGGGGGGCGTCGGGCGGCGGGACCTGCTCATCGTCGAGCGCGGCGGCCTCCGCATGGTGTCCTGCCACGGCGAGAAGGGCAAGAAGGAGCTGCTGGCGCGGCCCGTCATCAAGACTGTGGGCGAGAACGAGATGATGGGCATGATGGAGTTGGTACGGGAGGTGGAGACGGACATCGACCCGGCCACGGGCGACTACCCGACGGACGTCGTCGCCGAGTCCAAGTGCCAGCTTTTGGTGCTGACGCAGGAGACCTACGCCAACGAGCTCAAGGGCAAGGGCTCGAAGGCGTCCGCCATGTTCTGCGACAATCTGGACTCCATCACGCGCGCGAGCGTCGTCGCGTGGCTCCACAAGGTCAAGCTCTTCAAGCAGCTCGGGCCGTGCAACCTCGAGATGCTCAGCGAGGTCGCCCACTTCCGGTCCCTCGCCGTGGGCAACGAGGTGCTCAAGCAGGGCGAGACCGTGACGCGGCTCCAGGTCGTCCTCTCCGGCTCGTTGGACGTCATGTGCGAGTCGCAGGACCCGGGCGCGGCGCCGGGCACGCAGATCGTCGTCGGCCATCTGGGCGCGGGCGACTTCTTCGGCGAGTCAAGCATTTTGGGCCGCGAGGACGAGCACCACGGCGCGAACCATCTGGCGTCGACGGCGAGCCTGAGGACGACGAGCGAGTCGCTCTTCATCTACTTCCACGCGGACGAGATGCGCAAGGTCTTCCTCGAGGTGCCGGAGATCCTGGAGAGCATCGACAAGTTCGTCAAGGACCGCCTCACGGGCCAGCTCCTGGCCATGCACCTGAGCCTGTTCGACTCCATGAACCAGGCGTCCATCGCGCTCTTCGCGTCGGCGCTGACGGTGCAGTCGTACCACGAGGGCGACGTCGTCTTCGAGAAGGACTCCCACGGCATCGACTTCTACGTGCTCGTCCAGGGCGCCGTGTCCATCGACGACGGCGAGGACGTCCACGTGACCCTGGACCACAAGGGCGCGTATTTCGGGGAGGTCGCGCTCCTCCGCGCGGAGGCCCGCGCGGCGACGGTGACGGCCAAGGGCAACACGACGATCGCGTGCATCCCGGGCGAGACCTTCCGCACGCTCTGCCTCACGTCGCCGTCCGTCGCCGCCGAGTTCGAGATCAAGGCGCTCGGCGCGAAGGCGTCGATCGGCGCGCTCCTCACGCACCATCGGACCGCGCCGCTGCTGAAAAAAACGCTCGACGACGAGTTCGCGTCCGAGAACTACCGCTTCTGGCTCGACGCCGAGGACTACAAGTCGAACCACGCCATGGGCGGCGACCCGAAGGATTTGTGGGCCCAGGTCGACAAGATCTACGCGACGTACGTGACGACGACGACCGACGAGCAGATCAACCTCAGCGGCAAGGCGACGAAGATCCTCAAGAAGTACTTCGAGGAGGCGGCCAAGCCGGGCGGCCGCGACGCGCCGCCGGCCCGCGACGTCTTCGACGGCTCCGAGAAGTGCGTCAACAACAACCTGAAGGGCAACGTGCAACGGTTCTGCAAAACCCAGGGCTACGTCGACTTCATCGCCGAGCTCGCGGTCTACACGCCGAGAAAAGACCAAAAACGATAGGCGCCCGGCGCCGCCTGTGCTCGTCCGCGCCGCGGTAGGCGCCGCGGATGTCCCCGAGGCCCGAACGCGCGCCCGACGCCCCGGGCATCGCCCCCACCCCCTCGCGGGCCACTCCGGCCTTAATCTTTACTTCTTCTCTCTGCGACGCGTCGCTCGACGGGACCAGGGGGCGCCCCTTGCGCGTGGCCCTGGAAGCCTCCTGGAGCGTCTCGCCGGGTTTGTTGCCTTCAGCTTGAATGCTCCGAGTCCCGAGTCGCGGCGACGATAGCAGGACTGCGCGCGCGATCACAGGCGTCGAGCGAGACGACGGGGAGGGCGGCGCAGTGGTCCACGCCTCGCGCATCGAGCGCGCTGCGGTTCTCGCGCAGCGCATCCATGGTTCTCCTTCAGATGGTAAACGCTCTGTTGCTCGAGGACGATGCCGATATACCCGAGATGCGACGCTTATTAGACGCAGGTGACGCCGACATCAACGAAACAGACGACGATGGGTTCACGATCCTTCTCTTCGCAGCGTGCGGCTCGCCGCTCAGGAATATCGACGCTATGCGATTCCTGCTCGGGCGCGGCGCCGACCCGACTGCCCGACTTCTAGGTGGCTGGACGGCCTTACATTTCGTCCCTCATTTCCTCACTCGAGACAATCAGGATCCTGACGCAATCCAGGCGTCTCTAGAAATGGTCGAGCTACTTTTGGCAGCTGGTGCACACGTCGACGCTCAGAACTCGGAAGGTCACACGCCTCTCCACCTCTGTTGTTTAAATGGCTGCAGTGAGCTGGTGCGCCAGTTGCTGCGACACGGGGCTGATGACCGTCTTGGTTACCGTCATGATGAAGTATCGGTTGATGCATTGGCGGTGGCGACGGTTCAATACGATGAAAACCCGAGTCCGCCGCGCAAAGAGGTCCTCGATCTGGTTAGGGCCGTGCGACAGGCCGGGTCCTGGAAGCGCTTCGAGCGAGAGCCCAGTGTCAAACTCCTCGCGCTCCGCCACCTCGCTCTCGCCGGTCGCGCGACGGCGCCGCCGGACCTCCTGCGCCTCTTCGGCGCCCCGCCAATCCGACCCCTGGTGGGGGCAACGAGGACCCGGTCGAGGCGCGCGAAGACCAGCGCGGCACGGACGCCGCTGCCAGACGAGGTCTTCAAGCTCATCATCGCGTTCTGGCATCCCCCGGCTTAGATTAAGGCTTAGATTTAAACAAGACGCCTACGGCATCTTGCCCCTGCCGGGGGGGCTTGCCTGCGGCGCGGCGAGAGCGCGCCCTTCGGGCGCGCTCGCGCGAGCTGAGCCACTCATTCCCGTGTCAATGCTTCCCTCTGCACCGCTCGCGCGACGACAGCCATTTAATTTTCGTACGGCGGGGGAACCCCCGCGCACAACTCACGCATATATATATGGAATTGTGCAATGAGGCATCATCAATACCTCATTGAAGTTCTTGAAGGGCCGGTGGATTATGGACTAGCAGCCCAAAATCGACCGCCATGCCGAAGCTGCACCGCGAGGTGCGCAACGCGACGGCGGGCAAGCCCGGCATCCTGGCCTACCTGTCGCTGGGCCTGCTCATGGTCGTGCTCACGCTCGTGCGCCTCTGCCGGCGGCGGCGCAAGTTCAGCGCGAAGCAGCTCGACGCCTACCACGACTGGAAGAAGGGCACGGCCGAGGGCAAGCTCGAGTCGAAGCTCGCGCGCATGCAGCAGAAGCTCGAGGGCATGCGGAGCCGGCGCAAGGTCGAGGAGGGCCGCGACGCGCACGAGCGGCTCCTGAAGAAAGCCGAGGAGCTCCGCGAGGTCCGCGGCCGCGAGGTCTACGGCGACGACTGGGACGACCCCAAGGACGGCGTGCCCATCCGCGACCTCTTCGCGCTCAGCGACGTCGAGGTGCGCACCCTGCAGACGGAGGCGCGCAACGCCCGGGCCGTCGACGCCGAGCGCGCGCTCGACCGGGCCGAGAACGGCGCCGCGAAGCCGAAGAAGCCGCCGCCGCCGCCGGGGCCGCCGCCGGCGACGTCGAAGCCGCGGAAGCCGCCGCCGCCGCCGGGGCCGCCGCCGCCGTCGGCCTTCGCGCCCCTCGACGGCGGCCGCGCGCGGCCGCCGCGGGGCGTGGCCTACGTCGCGACGCCGCGCGAGGCCTTCGGCGACGACCCCGAGGCGGGCCTCGCGCGCGGCGGCGACGGCGGCTCCGCCGTCGCGCAGATCCGGGACCAGCTCGGCGCGCGCGCGGCGCCGCGGCAGCGCAAGCCGCCGCCGCCGCCCGGCCCGCCGCCGCGGACCGCGCTGCCGCCGCTCTCCGGGCCGCCGCCGCGCAACGTCGGCGTCCCGGAGGCGAAGGACGGCCTCGTGTAACACGCACGTGGGAGTGTTTTAGACATTACACACAGGGCGGCCTCAACAGGAAGGTCCAGGTCGCGTCGCCGCAGGCCCGGGGCCGCGCGTCGTCGTAGCCGAGGGGCCCGAGGAGCGCCGGCCCGCCCGCGGCCGCGGCGACGGCCGCGGCGACGGCCGCGTCGTCCGGGGCCCGCGGCGGCCGCGCGGCGACGCGCTCGCCCGCGGGCCAGCGCGCGGCCGCTTCGCCCGCGGCGCCGAGGAGCGCCGCGAGCGCGTCGTCGGGCGCGGCGACGACGTCCTCGTAGCGCAGCGCGGCCGCGCGCCGCCCCCGCCAGTGCTCCGCGAGGAGCCGCCACCGCGGCGCCTCGGCGACCGCGAACGCGGCCAGCGCCGTCGCGTTCTCCCCCGCGGTCCGGTGGTCGTGGTGGCCCGACGCGACGAAGCGGAAGTAGGACGCGAGCGCGTCCCAGGGCCGCCGCAGGAGCAGCACGGGTTTCGCCGCGCCCGCGAGGAGCGCCGCGCAGTCCCGCGGCGGGACGTCCACGATCGCCGGGTGGTGCGTCTTCACGAGAAATACCGCGGGCCCGCAGAGGCCCTCGCCCGCGTGGCCCCGGGCGACGAGCGCCGCGTCGTAGTGCGTCGACCCCGTCCAGAGGCCCGTCGCGCGCTCCGCCGCGCGCCGGAGCATCGACGACCCGCTCCGGGGGAACGACGCGACGAGGAGCGGCGCGGCGCGCCGCGCGGGCGGCGCCGGCGCGCACGCGCCGTGGAAGCGGCGGTGGCTCAGCTTGAAGACGTCGACGGGCGCGCCGAGGTCGCGGACCGTCGCGTTGAAGGCGTAGGTCCGCTGCCGCGAGCAGTGGAGGTGGAACGCGGCGACCTGGAGGCAGGGGTTGAGCACGTCGTAGCCCGCGGCGACGAACGCGTCGACGACGCGGAGGTCCGCGCCGAGGCGGTTCTGGTAGACGCCCGCGAGCGCGGCGACAACGGCCGCCGGCGCCGGCGGCAGGAAGACGAACGCGTCGTAGCCGTGGACGGCCTCGCCGGCCCAGTGGCCCTGGGGCGCGCAGAGGTCCAACGGTAAACCCGGCGCGTGGCCGCCGCCGGAAGCCTCGACGCAGCGCGGCTCGGGCCGCCGCGTCACGGCGAGCAGCGTCGGCCGCGGGAGCTTGGCCAGGAGGTCCGCCGCGCAGCCGAGCGAGTCGTCGAAGTAGACGTCGGCGTGGGCGAGGGCGACGGGGCCGCGTTGGTCGCCGGCGACGGCGAAGAGGGCCGCGTAGTCCGGCTGGCCCGCGGCGCCGACGACGGCGACCTTGGCGCCGGCGGCCGCGGCCGCCGCGGCCGCGGCGCCCTCGGCGACGACGACGAGCGTCCGGACGCTCGCGAGCGCCGCGTTGCGCCCGAGGGCCTCGAGCAGCTCGCCGCCGCGCGGCGCCGGCGCGGCGTAGAGCGTCGTCACGACGTCGACGCGCCGCTCCGCGGCGAAAACCGGCGCCGCGAGCTCGCGCGACCGGTCGGCGAGGCGCGCCGCGAAGGCCCGGTTCGGCCCGTAGGCCGCGCCGTCGAGCCGCGCGGCCTCGCCGAGGCAGCGCACGCCGTCCTCGACGTCGTCGCCGTGGAGCTTGAGGATGCCGAGGTTGTTCCACGCGGCCGCGAGGCCCGGATCGAGCGCCACCGCGCGGCCGTAGCGCGCCTCCGCCTCGTCCGCGCGGCCCGCGGCCTGGTCCAGGACGCCGAGGGAGTACTCGGCCCGCGCGGCCAGCGCGGGCTCGCCCCGCGGCGCGCCGAGCGCGGCCTCGTACGCGGCCGCGGCGCTAGCGTCGTCGCCGGCCGCGTGCAACGCGTCGCCGTCGGCGAGGGCCGCGAGGGAGAACCCGCGGCGCTCCTCCGCGGGGCCCCGGCCCCGCGCGTCGAGGTCGCGCCGCAGCGCCGCGGCGCTCGGCCAGGGCGCGCCGTCGCCCGCGCGGAGGAGCGCCGCGGGTTCGCCCCCTGCACGTACGCGACGTAGTCGCGCCAGGCCGTCGCGACCCGAGGATGTCCACGGTCCCGGGCCACGGCGTCGAACCGCGCGAGCGGCGCGCCGCGGCCCCGGTGCGCCGTCTCCTGGGCGACGCGGAGGTTCTCGAGCGCGGCGCCGTTGCCCGGGTTCGCGAAGACGGCGCGCTCGAGGAAGCCGACGGCGGCGGCGAGGTCGCTCGCCGCGTAGGCCAGGGCGCCCCGGTTCATGAGCGCGCGGTCGTGGCGCGGGTCCATCGCCGCGGCGGCGTCGTAGCGGTCCGCGGCGTCGCCGTTTTCGCCGGCCGCGGCGGCCGCGACGCCCGCGCGGAAGAGCGCCTCGGCCCGGTCGCCGGCGGCGCCCGCCGCGGCGTCCGCGAGGAAGGCCCGGTAGGCCGCCGCGTAGTCGCCGTCTTCGAAGAGCGCCGCGCCCGCCGGTTTCGGCGCCGGGTCCGCGCGCGGCGGCGGCGGCCGCGCGCCGGGCCGGCGGACGGCCCAGGCGAGCACCTCGCCGCGCGCCGACGGCGCGGCGAGGTCCTCGGCGGCGAGGCCCAGCACCCCCGCGACGTCGTCGCCGCCGGGGCCGAGCTCGACGACGTGGAAGCCCGCCGCCGCGAGCGCGCGCTCGAGCCGCGCCGCGTCGTCGCAAAAGCGGCCGCCGACGAAGACGAGCGAGCCCGCGGCGAAGTGCGCGACGTCGTCGACGGCGCAGCCGGCGCAGAGCGCGACGTCGTAGGCGCCGCCGACGGCCGCGCCGGGCCGCGCCTCGTCGACGGCGCCGCAGGCGAGGTGCCGCGCCGCGAGGTCGCCGCCGCCGACCTCGAGGCACGTCCCCGCGGCGCCGATCGCGGCCCCGACGCGCCGGAGAAAGGCCTCCCGCGCAGCAAAGGCCGGCGGCACGCCCCGGGGCGACGCCGGCGGGCCCGCGGCCGCGTAGGCCGCCGCGAGGAGGTCGTCGACGACGCGGCCGCCGCGGCGCCAGAGCTCGGACCGCGGCGGGACCCGCGCGCGGAGCTCGCCGTCGAGCCGCCGCACGTCGGCGCCGGAGAAGCCGAGCTTCGCGAGCACGCGGTCCGCGGCCGAGTCCGCGGCGTCCCGCCGGGACCAGGCGAGCGCGTACGTCGCGCGCGCGCCGCCGCCGGGCGGCGTCAGCTCGGCGGCGCCGCCGCGCGACACGGCCGCGCGCGCGGGCGCGGCGCCCGCGCGCGTGGCGACGAGCGTCCACGCGTCGTCGGCGCCCGGGAGCCGCACGCGAATCGCCTCGCCGGACGCCGCCTCGACGTCGAGCGTCGCGCGGACGACGCGGCCGCCCTCGCAGACCCGCGCCGGCGACACGGCCGCGCGCTGGGCCTCCCGCCTGTCCGCCGCGGCGACGGTCGCGGTTTCGACGTCGAGGGCGTCCAGGGCGTCGAGGACGGCGCCGACGTCTTCGTCGGCCTCGACGCGGACGCGGGCGCCGGGCGTCAGCGCCGCGACGGGATCTCGGACCGCGCGGCACGGCGGCGCCTCGCCGGCGTCCAGGACCTCGAAGCCGGCGGCGCGCCAGTAGCGGCGCACGGCGGCCTCGGCGCCCGGCCCGAGCACGAGCGTCGCCGTGCGGCCGCGGTCGCGGACCGCGCGCGCGGCCGCGTCGCCGACGAGGACGAGCGCCGCGGGCGCCTCGAGCGCGGGCGCGACGTCGGCCGCGGCGCAGCCGAGCCGCGCGTCGACGGCGCCCCGCGACCCCCAGGCGTCGGCGAGCGCCGCGGCGCGCGTCGCGTTCGCCGCGGCCCGCGCGCCCGGGGCCCAGCCGTCGGAGAGCAGCCACGCGCCGCGCGACCGGAGCCACGCCTCCTTGGAGCCGCCCGCCTTGTCGACGCAGTTCGGGTGGAGCACGCGGGGCGCGGCGCCGTGCTCGAGGGCCGCGGCGACCTCGAGCCAGCGGTCGCAGCCGCCGACGGGGAACGACGGCGCGTCCAAGAGCGCGGCGCGCGCGCCCGTCGCCAACCTCGCCGCCGCGCCGAAGCCGAGATCGTCGAGCGCGTGGTTCAGCGCGAGCTGGTCGTCGCCGAGGCGCGCCGTGAGCGCGACGACGCGCTCCAGGAGCTGCGCCGTCGCGGGCGCGCCCGCGCGGTGCGCCGCGAAGCCGAAGCAGCCCGTCGCCGTCCGCCACTTGGCCGCGAGCGCCTCGGGGTACTGGCCCGCGCCGAGACAGTGGTCGCAGGCCGCCGCGACGAGCGGGCCGGCGACGTCGCCGAGGAAGACGACGTCGACGTCGCTGTGGAGCACGAGGACGTCGCTCTGGAGGCAGGCCGGCGCGAGGATCGCCTCGAGCGCCAGGGCCCGCGCGAGCCAGAGGCCGGAGAGGCCGCCGCCGCGGTTCTCCGCGAAGGCGTGTGCCGCCGCGGGCGAGATCGATGCGACGGCGACGGCGTCGGGCACGCCGCTCGCGCCGGCCGGGCCCTCGAGCTCGAGCAGCGCGTGCGGCAGCCCGACGCGCGCCGCGCTCAGCGCCCAGTTCGCCGCCAGCGACGCGTAGGAGGCCGTGGCGAAGGCGACGGCCAGCACCGGCTCGTCTTTCGCGAGTCGCGCGAGCACGTCGCAGCCGGACTCGGCATTGACGCAGGCGAGGCAGCACAGCAGCCCCCGGAGGGCCCGCATGCTGTGCTCACATCGGCCAATCGGGGCCGCGCAGGCCTCCGATGTTTGCCTTGCTCGCGGGTTGAGGCGGCGGGCCCGGGCGTCGCTTACAAAACTATGGGCGCGTAGTCAAACAAACCGCCGCGGAGGGGCTCTTCCCGTGGATGAGCGCGACCATGGAGACTACGGAGACCAAGGTGGCGCCCGCCACGGACGACGAGACAAAAAAACGGGGGCGCTCGGAGGATAAGCCGACGACGCGAGGTGTTTTTGCAGCGTCGATAAAAACGCGCGTGCGCAAAAAGTTTCACGACTGCCAGCGGCCCCGCAAACGCTGCAAGCGCCTCCCCCGCGGGCCGGCGCGCTGTGGCAAACCGTCGGACGCATCCCGCTTTCCCCGCAGGCGCGTCGAAGTCGGCGGACGAAGGCGACATCCAGCCGCCCGACCCGCTGAAGCCGCAAAGGCTGCGCGATGCGTACGAGAACGCTCCCTTCCACGTCACGCTCACGAACATGACCCTCAAGAAGATCCACATCAGCGTCGAGGTCGGCGATTCGCGCGCGGCCGCGCCCGCGCGCGCCGCGCTTCCGGTCACGCGTCCGTCACCGCCGCGCGCGCGCAGGTGGGACTGGCTCATGCTCTTCCCGTCGTGCTCGCACAAGTTCCCAAGTCGACGAAAGAACCCCTACGTCTGCTGCTCCTACTCGGGCGACAAGGAGTACTTCGAGAACTGCAAGCACCTTCCCGCGGCCGTCGACGAGGGCACGGCCTACTGCCTCGTGCCGACGAACGCCAAGGGCGCCTTTAAATACACGCACAAGGAGAGCGGCGAGGACGTCGACATGTCCGTCGAGCCCACGGAGGAGGACCTGCGGGCCATGTACGTCGACGACCTGCCGAAGCCGAAGAAGGAGGGCGTCCTCGTCAAGGACGAGAAGGAGGAGTCCAAGGACGAGAAAAAGTCGTCCGACGAGGCGAAGGAGCGGCGCCCGCGGCGGCCGAGGCCGCCGCCGCCGCGCCCGCCGCCGCCGCCGCGCCCGCCGCCGCGCCCGCCGACGGCGCCGCCGCGCCCGCGCCCGCCGCGGACGCGCCCGCCGCCGCGCCCGCGCCCGCCGCCGCCGCGCCCGTCGTCAAGGCGGAGCCGGGGCTCAACGGCGCCGAGCCCATGGCGACGGACGAGCCCAAGAAGGACGACGACAAGATGGACGAGAGCTAGACGCCCGGGCGCCCCGCGACGGCCCCGCCGGAGAACCCCGGCGGCCGACGAGACCCACACGCCGCCCCTGTCAGCCCCCTGTTCCGGACGTAAGGAAGTGCGTCCACTAGCTACGGAGCGCGGCGGACGAGCGGGTGTACTAGTATCGCGGCGGTGGACACCTCGGGAGGTTACGGCCTAGGCGCGCCCCGCCTCAGAACTTGAAGTCCTTCTGCTTCTTCGCCGCGGACGAGGACGCCTTGTCGAGCTTGCGCTTCATGTTGCGGACGCCGTCGGCGAGGACGTCGCCGACGTCGTCGTCGGCGCCGCCGCCGCGGGCCGCGTCGTACTTCTGCTTGAGGAGCGCCTGGTCGCCGAGGTCGCCCTCGAGCGCGTCCGGGTCGAGGGCCGCGTCGACGCCCGCGCCGACCTTGTAGCGCTTGTCCGACGCGAAGAGCTGCCCCCCCGCGCGGGCCCGGCTCTTCTCCTCGTCGATGACCTTGTAGAGCTGCTTCTCCGCGGCGCCCGACTGCGCGGACGAGATGCCCGACGAGTCGGGCGTCTCGAGGCCCGCGCGCTTGCGCAGGTCGATGGCGTCGGGCGTCTCGAGGCCCGTCATGGCCGAGGAGATGCCGTCGTCGAGGGGCGTCTCGATGCCCGACGTCTCGGACACGGACTCGGACGGGTCGTCGCGGCGCGGCCGCCGCCGCGCGGGCGGCAGCTCGCCCGCCATCTCGAAGCCCTCGTCCTCGGACTCGTCGTCGTCGGGCTCCTCGGGCCCGAGCTCGCCCCAGTGGACGACCTCGCCCTGGTAGCGGTCGTCGCCCGCCGCGCCGCGCGCGCCGAAGACGTCGCCGTAGAGCGGCCGCCCGTACTCGTCGACGGGCGGCTTGCCCCAGCCGCCCGGGTGGTACCCAAAGGACGCGCCCTCGGGGATGGGCGCGTTGAGGCCCGGAATCCGTAAATTCGGGTAGGACGGCGGCGGGCCGTAGCGCTGCATGTTGATGAGCCACGGCGGCGGCGCGCCGTCGGGCATGCCGAGCGCCGCCTTGAGCGACGCGGACAGCGACCCGGGCTTCTTCTCCTTGAGGTGCACCTCGAACTCCTTGCCCTCGTAGTAGATCTCGCCGAGGCCGCTGAGCGGCGGCTTCGTCTGCCACTTGAAGAACGCGTCGTGGAGCACCTGGTAGTCGACGTCCATGCGGCCCATCTTCGGCTGCACGCGCTCGCGCGACTTCGCCGCGACGGCCTTGGCCGCGTTCGCGTCCTCGACGGCCTTGCGGATCTTCTCGATGCCTGCGGTCGGCGCCGCGGGTCGGGGGGGGGGGGGGCGCGCCCGACGGCCGCGCCGTCGTCGTCTTCGGGGAACTCGGAATCGAGGGGGTTTCGCAGCACGGGACTGGCCCGCGTTTTGCGGGGTCGTAGCGCCCCCGAGTCAGACAGGGATAACTGTTTGGATATTCTCGCTGTCGTCACCGTTCCCCTGGCGTTCGAAGTCGGAAGAGGGACGCGGCGCCGGACCGGTCTGCGCGATGAACTCGGGGAGCTGCCAGGGCTTCTTCTCGACGCCGCGCTTGCCCTGGAGGTACTTGCGCTTGTGGCACCAGTGGCGGGGCACGGGCACGGCGTTGCGGTAGCTCTTGAGGTAGACGAGGAGCTTCGGGTCGCCCGCGGTGACGTCGTGCGCCTCGACGACCTCGGGCCGAGCGACCATCTGCTTGAGCTCGGCCACGGTCATGCGGCTCATGGCCTTGCGCTGCTTCTTGCTCAGCTCCTTCTCCTCCTCGGCGGGCGCCTCCTCGGCGGCCGCGGCGCCGCCGCCGCCGCCGCCGTCGGCCGCGGGCTCCTCCGCGGGCGCGTCCGACGTGAGCGCCTCGGCCGTCGCGAAGCGCGCGAAGACGTCCTTGAACAGCTCCGTCGCCGCGCCGCCGTCGTAGGACGCGCTCACGTACTCGACGGTCACGGCCTCGGCCGCCGGCGCCGCGCCGTTCGCCGCCGAGCTCGAGCTCGACGCCTCGGCCGCGGCCGGCGCGGGCGCGGACGCCGCGGCCTCGGCCGCGAGGCGCTTCTCCTCGCGCTCCGCCTTCTTCTTGAGCCGCTTCTTCTCGTTCTTCGTCAGGACGCGCTTCTTCTCCTTGGGCGCGCCGCCATTCGTGGCGCCGTTCGCCGCGCCGTTCCCCGCCATCGCGGCGTGCGGGCGGCGCCTCGGCGAGCCCGGCGCTAGGCGGGCGCGGGCGACGGCCGGCGACCTCGGCGGCGGGCGCCTCGACCGGCGACGAGGGCGCGGGCGACTGGCCGACGACGGCGGCGGTGGCTCGCCCGGCGACGCCCGACGACGACGACGGCGGCTGGTGGCTCGGCGAGTCGGCGCCGCGGCCGGCGGCTGAGGCGAGACGGACGCACGATGGCAGGCCTCCGGAACGCTAGCTGCGCGCGACGCTGAGCTACGACACGTTACGCTTGCAAGCGCTTGCAAACACATGGGCACGGGCTACAGCTACTCGTCGCTGACGAAGCGCCGCGCGTTCTGCGTCGCGCTGGCGATCATCGTCGCCTGCACGGCGCTGCGGCTGCGGTCGCTCTGGTTCGCCGGCGGCCTCGGCTGGCTGTCGTGGCTGCTGCCCGCGCGCGACGACGGCGGCACGGCGCTCTGGCGCGGGCCGGCGGAGGCCTACGACGCCGCGGCCGCCGCGGACCGGCTCTGGGGCCCCGCGGCGCCCGCGCGGCGTCCGCCGACGGTCGCGGCGTGCGCGCGGTGCCGCAACGAGGGCCCCTACCTCCGGGAGTGGATCGAGTTCCACAAGCTCGCCGGCGTGTCGTACTTCTACATCTTCGACGACGCGTCGACGGACGAGACGCGCGCCGTGCTACAACCGTACGTCGAATCCGGCGTCGCGCGCGTCTGGCCCGTGTCCGCGGCGCCGTGCCCGCGGCGCCGCGGCGTCGGCGACGTCTGCGCGGACCGGGTCCACGACGCGGCCCACGGCGAGCGCGGCTTCCGCGACGAGTGCCTGCGGACGAACCCGGACGGCGCGGACTGGATCGCGATGATCGACGTCGACAAAAGAGAGATTCAACGTCGCTTCAACGTGAGTGTTCCGCGCGCGACCGTTCCGGAAAAAGCATCCACGCTTCGAGAACGCTCCGAGAGATGATCGCTCGTCCAAAAATTAGCCGAAACGAGCGGAAAACGACCGAGATAGGAGCCTCCAAAGTTGGGGAATTTCGCACTCTTTTCCTGCCCCAGGCGATGATCGACGTCGACGAGTTTCTCTACCCCGGTGGCGGCGCGTCGCTGCCCGCGCACCTCGCGGCACACTGCGCGCCGTCCGTCGCCTACGCCCTCGTGCGCTGGCAGGTCTTCGGCGCTGCGGGCTGGCGGCGCAGGCCGCCGGGGACGTCCGTGGACGCGTACCGCGAGCGGTCGTTCAGCGACGATTTCGGGTGCTACCCGCGGCTCACGTGCGGCGACGACTACGCGCCGCCGGTCTGCGCCAAGGTGCTCGCGCGCGCGCGGTGCGTCGTCCGGCAGGGCACGCACTACGTCGTCGAGACGGCCAAAGACGGCTGCGAGACGCTCTACGCGCCCGAGGGCAGCGGCCGCGGCGTCGGCAAGCTCGGCGCGCCGCGCGGCGACGCCTTCGCGCGGTCCCAGCACGACGCCTGCGCCGCGCCCCTGCGCATCAACCACTACGCCGTGCGGTCGCGCGAGGAGTACGTCGCCAAGTTCGAGCGGGGCCGCATCTCGTCGGGCGCGCGCGACGCGCGGAACGGCCTCGCGCAAGTCGACGCCGCGACGGGCGCGACGTCGCGCGCCGTCGACGCGGCGGCCGTCGCCGCGTTCCTCGACGCGGACGTCGTCGAGTTCAAGACGTCCAAGGCGTCCAAGGTGTCGACGGCCCAGGACCTCATGCTCGCGGAGTTCGTGCGCCGCGACTTCTCGACGGCGCGCGGCGGCGCCGGCGATGCGCTCCGACGCGCGCGGCCCCGGTCCGGCGCGCGCGCGCGCGCGTCGCGCGCGCGTCGAGCGATGGGAGAGAGAGAGAGGCGCCTCGTCGCACGCGCGCGGCGCGCAGGTGCTCGACGAGGCCGCGGTGTCCAAGTACGGCGCGGGCCTCCGGGCGGCGCTGGGCCTGCCCGCGGAGCCCTTCGCCGCGGCGCCGTCCCTGCGCTGGGCCTGCGAAAGCAACGGCACGGACGCGGCGGCGGCCGAGGCCGCCGTGTGGCGACACGCCAAAGCCATGGGCGCGTACGCGGGCGCGCGCGACGGCGCGCCCGCGGTCTTTGTGCACGTGCCCAAGACCGCGGGGACGACCCTGAATTTGGTGCTCGCCAAGGCGGCGAAGAAGCAGAAGCGGTCCTTCTGCGAGGTGACCTTCAGGGACCTCGACGACGCCGCGCGGCGCGCCGCGCTCGCGCGGTCCTGCGGCGTCTTCTCCGCTGAGACGGACGTGAGCGCGCGCCCCCGCGCGGAACTCGAATCTTCCACCCGACGTCAATGTGCGCGTCATCGAACGGTTACCAGACGCTTCGGCCGTGCTTCGAGACCTCGACGAGAGCAATGTCCAAACATCAGCCGAATCGACTTCGATTTGCTCGAGAATTTCCAAGTTTCGTCGGGACGTCCCCGAACCGGCGGTCGACGTCCGCGCAGGTGCTCCCGTTCCTCGGCGTCCGGCGCGCCAAGGCCTTCACGTTCCTCCGGGACCCGCTGCGCCGCGTGGCCTCCCAGTACGAGCACCACCTCGCGGGCGGGCGCGTCGCGAGCGACGCGGCGAAGCGCGTCGACGTGCTCCGCCGGGCAGCAAAAGAGAGCGAAATTCCCAACTTCAAAGGCTCCTATCTCGGCCGTTTTCCACTCGTTTTGGCTGATTTTTGGACGAGCGATCATCTCTCGGAACGGTCTCGAAGCGTGGATGCTTTTTCTGGAACGCGCGCGCGCGGAACACTCACGTTGAAGCGACGTTGAACCACCCTTGTGCTGCCCAGGTGCTCCGCCTCGCGTCGCCCGCGCTCTGCCCGCAGCTCGAGCGCGACGCGCGGTGCCGGTCCCTGCGGCACCCGGCCAAGTGCCAGGGCGGCGGCTGGTGCGGCATCTTCCAGAACCACATGACGCACGTCGTCGCGGGCGCGCAGCACCTGAGCGACGCCGCGCGCGGCGCCGCGCGGCGGTCGTCGGACAACCTGCGCTGCGCGGCCGCGCGCGCGCTCGACGCGCTGCCCGCGGTGGGGCTCACGGAGCGCCTCGACGACAGCCTCTGCGTCGTCTTCGCCGAGATCGGCTTCGACGCCGTCGTCGCGGACTGCTGCGGCTCGCCCGCGCGCTGCGCGCTCTTTGGCCAGCGCGCGACGCGCCACTCGGCGGCGGACCGCGGCGCCGGTGCGAACGCGACGGCCTACCTCGCGGACTACCTCGACGACGACGTCGTCCTCGCGGCGCTCTACGAGGGCAACGCGCTCGACTGCGACCTCTACGACGCCGCGGCGCGCCTCCTCGGCGCGCGGCTCCGCGCCGCGGACTTCTACGTCGACCCGGCGCCCGTCCGCGGCTCCGCGACCTGCGCGCGCGCCCGGGCCGCGCTCGCCGCGTTCCAGCGCGCGAGGCACGGGGCGTAAGGAATGAGCCGCCGCCCCGCGCCTCAACGCAGTCTTCCCCCGCGGCCTTCCTGGAGCCCCGGCGGGCGCGCATCCCCTTCAATAACAAGTTCACGTTGGTTGTTGACCCTGCCGCCGGGCTGCTCTCCGATGGCTCGAGACTTGGCTCGAGTAGTCTACGTCGACGTCGTCGGCAGCGCGAGCCTGAAGCTCACGCTGAAGAAGGACGTGCCCGCGCGCAAGGTCTGGGCGTCGCTGGGAAAAGCTCGGCGCGTCGACGCGGCGACGCACGTCCTCGAGGCGCGCGACGGCGCCGTCCTGGGGCTCGACGACCTCGTGCTCGCGTCGGCGCCCGGCGCGGGCGACGCGCTGCTCGTCTGCCGCCCCCGGCCGCCCGGCCCGCCGCCGCGGCCGCCGCCGCCGGCCGCGCCGCGCCGGGACCCGCGTCCGGCGCGCGCGGGGAGCGCGCTCGCGCGCGGCTTCCTCGGCGGCGCGCCGCGGCCGCGGCCGCCCCCGGAGCCCGCCGCCGCCGTGCCGCGCGCCGCGGACCTGCCGCCGCCCGCGGCGACCTCCGGCATCTTCGACGCGGCGACGCTCGCGGACGTCGCGCGCCAGGAAGCCGCGCACCTCGCGCGGGAGCTCGACGGCGGCGCCGGCGACCGCGTCGCGCGGGAGCTGCTCGACTACCGCCTGGGCCGGCCCCTGAGCCAGGCGGCGCGGCAGCACGCGGCGCTCCTCGACGGCCAGGGCGTGGCGGTCCTGCCCGGCCCGCCGCCGCGGCTCGACCACAGGACCGCGCTGTCGTCGCTCCACGAGCTCATGCGCGGCATGCGGTGCCGCCTCGAGGAGCGCCAGGGCGACCTGAACCCGGGCCGCGACGCGGCCGTCGAGCTCGAGCTCTGCGGCCGCGTCTTCACGCTCGGCATGAACTGCCTCCTGGCGACGTCGCGCGCGGGCGGCGCGCGCGACGCCGCGCGGGAACCGACCGCCGGTTCGGGGGGTCCCGACCACACTTCCGAATGCTCTCGCTCCGTCACATCGACGTCGATTCGGCCGATGCTTGGACGAATCGATCGCTCTCGTCGAGCGCTCGAAGCACGGCACAAGAACTCGCGTGGAAACACGCTCACGTCGAGGTCGCGTCGCATATTTAAGGTTTCCCGCCCAGGCACGACTACAACGCCGCGGACCCGAAGGCGTACCTCGGCGACGGCGCGCGGCTGCTCCGGCCCCACGGCTCGGCGTCCGCCGTCGCCGCGGCGCTCGACGACGTGGGCTACGTCGTCGTCGACGGCGCCGTCGACGGCGCGGCCGTCAACGCGATCAAGCGGGATCTGGAGGCGCAGGTCGCGGCGCGCGAGTTCCGGCGGCCCGCGCAGCAGCGCGTCACGGGCACGCGCGGCGACTCCTTCTGCTGGGTCCACGACGCCGACGCCGCGGCCCACGGCCGCGCGGCCCTCGCGCGCGCGATCCGCAACCTCAAGGGCGTCGCCGCGGCGCTCAACGCGGCCGGCGCGCGCGACTACCGCGTCGACGAGACGGCGATGACGTCGCGCTACCCGGGGCCCGGCGAGCGCCTCGAGGCGACGCCCTACCGGGGCTACCGCCGGCACCAGGACAACCACCGCGACCGCGGCACGGGCGCGTGCTGCAACGCGCGCGCCGTGACGGCCATCCTCTACGCGAACCCGGACTGGGACGGCGACCGCGACGGCGGCCTCCTGCGCATCTTCCCCCGGTCGACGGCGCTCAACGAGGCGCCCGACGACAACGCGCGCGTCGTCGAGCTCGCGCCCGCGGGCGGCCGCCTCGTCATCTTCGACAGCTTCCTCTGGCACGAGGTCCTCCCCGCCAAGGGCCGCGCGCGCTTCGCCGTGACGCTCTGGATCACGCGGCCCGAGCTCCAGGACGCGGCCGCGACCTAACCCCTCGACCGCTGGCCGCGCGCGTCGGGGCGGAGACGGGCGGCCCTTGAGCTACGCGGCGGGATGGGTCGCCTAATGCGAGAGAGACACAGGTCCGGGGCCCCGGAGTCCGGCCCGCCGCGAATCAACAACAGACATCTTCTTCATTCTTAAAGAAACAAACAACTCACCCGCCGATGATCGCGCGGTCGACGTCGTACTTGGAGACGTCGCCGGAGAGGCCCAGGGCGTCGGCGACGACGCGGCGCGAGCGCACGTGCGGCGTGAGGTTGCAGAGCGCGCCGGCGGCGACGTCGCGGAGCTCCTTGGAGCCGCGGCGGCGGACCTCGACGAGGGGCTCGGCGGCGCCGCTCAGGGCGACGGCGATGCGCCGCGCGTCGTCGCCGTGGGCGAGCTTCCAGAGCGTCGCCGCGGCCTGGAGCTTGACGCCGTCGTCGCCCGACCTGAGGAGGCCGACGAGCGCGGGCAGCGCGCCGGCGCGCTCGACGGCCTCCTTGGCCGCTTCGTCGGTGGCGAGGGCGCCGAGGGCCCAGGACGCGTGCTCCTTGGCCGCGTCGGACGCGCGGCCCCGGAGGAGCGCGACGAGCGGGCCGCAGGCGCCGCGCGCCACGAGCCGCGCCTTCGCGGCGTCGTCGGCCGCGGCCATGGCCATGAGCGCGCGCGCCGCGCAGGAGCGCGTGCCCCAGGCCTCGGCGCCGCCGCAGAGCTCGATGAGGGCGTCGACGGCGACGGCCGCGCGGTCGGCCCGGCCGGACTCGGCGGCGACGAGGAGCGCGCGCGCCGCGGCCTCTTTGCTTCGGTCGGTGCCCGCGCGGCACAGCTCCGTGAGCGGGTCGTAGTTCTGGTGCGCGGCGGCCGCGAGGGCGGCGTCGAGGCGCGGCGACGCGGGGGCGTCGACGACGGCGGGCGCCGGCGCCGCGGCGTGGGCCCCGCTGGACATGGTGGTCACCTTGTGGCCCGTGGTCGTGGTCTCCTTCGTCGAGATGGCGAGGTTGCTGGAGGCCATCTTGTCAAGAGGCGTTGCTTGTTGCGTTTTTCCTCGGGAGAGGGTTGCTTTGGGTTTTGTTTGGCTGCCATTTTCAGGAACGCCGAGAAGCGTCGATTCCTCGAGCCCGAAAGCTGCCCAAGCAGTTGCATGCACTAAATCGATGATGAAGCTGCCGCATAAACGCCCCCGCCTCTCTCGACGATGGTCCTGGGCCCCGGCGACGCGTTCGTCGAGAGCAAGCGCGCGCCGGGGGTCGGCGACGTCAACGAGGCGTCGCTGCGCGAGTGGATCATCCAGTTCTACCTCGAGCACAACCCGGGCAAGCTGTCGTCCGTCGACGGCCTCCTGGAGCGCTACGCGGGCCGGGAGAACGAGCTCATCCGCCAGCTCGAGCGCAAGTACGAGGGCCGGGACCGGTCGCTCCCGTCGCCGGAGCGGCCCAACCCCTTCGACGACGACGACGACGACGACGACGGCGCCGCGCCCGCGAGCGACCGCGACCGCGCGGCGCGGAAGCTCGCGCTCACGCGCGACGCGCTCCGCGCGTGCTTCGAGGAGAACGGGCGGCTCCAGCGCGCCATCGTCGCGTCGTCGGACCTCGCCTGCGGCCTCGCCGACGCCAAGGCGCGCCTCGACGACACCGCGGAGGCCGCCGCGCAGCGCCGGGCGGAGCGGGAAAAGGGCGCGACGCGCCCGACCTCCATCTCGGCCGGTTTCCACTCCTTTTGGCTGATTTTTTTGGACGAGCGATCGTCCCTCGGAGCGCTCTCGGAGCGTGGATGCTTTCGTTCTGGCGCGGGACACCCACGTCGAACCGCCCACCTCCCGCGCAGGCGCCAGGCGGAGCTCGAACGGTCGCGCGACGAGCAGGCGCGGCTCTTCGGCGAGAACGCGACGCTGCGGGGCGAGAACGACCAGCTGCGGGCCGCGCTCCGGGACGGCGCCGAGCTCGCGCGGCGCACGCGGGCCAACTACTGCGCGCGCGTCGACGCGGACGAGCTCTCGCAGCTGCCCGAGTCGGACCTCGCGGAGCTCTTCGCCGCGGCCGTCGACGCGCACCGCGCCGCCGCCGGCGAGCAGAAGCGCCGCCTCGACGCCCAGCGGCACCACGTCCTCTGCGTCGACTGCGGCGCGCGGACGCGGACGAAGATGGCCGCGCCGTGCTCCCACCTCCTCTACTGCCACGGCTGCGTGCCCGGCGGGTCGTCCGTCTGCCCGCTCTGCGACGCCGTCGTCCTGGCGGACCAGTGGGTCCACGTCCGACACGTCTAAAAAATCAAGGCGCGCACCGGCGCTAGATCGTCGGCGCGGCGGCGGCCGCCTTGGCGCCGCCGGGCGCCTCGGCGTCGACGACGACGGCCGCGACGACGGGCGCGGGGCCGACCTCGCGCGCGTGCGCGACGGGCACGAGGGGCTGGTGGGGCGCGGCGGGCGC